CATGTTTATAGCAGCACAATTTGTCAGAGCTAAATCTTGGAGAGTACCCAAATGCCCATCAACTGAGGTATGGATAATAAAGATGTGGTATTTTTATACAATGAAATATTGTTTAACCATAAAGAAAGATAAACATGAGGCTTTTGTAGGTAAATGGCTACAACTAGAGATCATACTCACAAATAAAATAAATCAGAACCACTCATGTAAACATCATATTATGTCTCTAATGTAAGAAACTAAAACAGTAAATAATATCCAAAAAGTACAATAGATACTGTTAAAGAGAAACTGCTCAAAAGGAAAGAACAACTGGGATGAGGGAAAGGAGAAGGAAAGAAAGAAGGAAGGGAAAAAATATATATATACACAATATAATTCATTGTATATACATATATATGCATGTTAGCATCTAATTGCTCCTCTGATAGACACAATATAGCTATGATAATTGCACTACTAGGTTTTATTGATTTATTCAAAGGAACAGTTAATGTCAAATTATTTGATCAATATTGCATGCCTAAATCTGGTACTCTGAAGAACTACTTTGAAGATAACAATATGCAATATAAAAACCATTGTTAATTTCCTATCAGTTTGTTTTGAAATTCTGTATCATATTTATTATTTTTTGTTTCTTATTTTTATTCATTTATCATAAAATAATTAAGATAACATTTTCTATCAAGATTTTTGCATTTATACATGTATATATCCCCACATATACATATGTACACATATACATACAAGACAAAATCTGCCATTTTAAAAACATATGGCTAGAAATTACCAGACATACTCTCTTAAATATAGCACTGAAAACTCATTTAGAATAGTTTTAGACTGAAATGTTGCTTCTCAAGAATGGCAATAGTCTCACATATAAGAAGCACTATGATTAAACAAAAATGCTGTAATTAGAAGCTAATAATCACAATATACATGGTGTGCATTTTAATGGCTAATTGCCTCTTTGATATTGGGGTATGCAGGATGATATACTTACATTAAGTATAAATCCTATGAAAATGTACTTGCTACAAGTAATTACCACTATTATTTCTCTAATAATGGGAACAATACTCTTTTCCACTACATATAAAATTATATTGTTGTACTTACTTTCAACAATCACTTGTCTGTCTTCCCAGTTATCTTTAATAAGCTGTATATTTCCAAAGTGTGCATCACTGTAAAAGATTCTGTTGGTGCCTTTTCTTCCTTGGTTATAGTCAAAAGCCAAGGCTATGACATTCTTAAAATAATGTGGATTCCAATATGGCCTTATTGGGGAATTTAAATTGGTTTCATCAGAAAGATGTATACTTTTTAATATTGTTCTCCCTGAATACAGCAAATAGCCTTCATGCCTTAGGCAAGTAACTCCGTCTTCTGCCAAATATCCATGGGCACAAGCACAAGTTCTTCGAGAATTTCCTCGATAAAGACAGAGTTGTATACAGCCACCATTATCCTTAGCACAAACATTGGTTCCTGAGGAATAAAAATACACACACATGGACACACACATATTATTTTCTTAAGAAGCTTTTTTAATTATAGAAATACTAAAAACTTTAATATTGATTATTTCTATGTTTTTATTTTTAGTTTTAAGATAGGTGAGCAGAAATAATTACTATAAAGTAACATTCCTTTCATTCACAGACTTTAATATCTTGGGTTTCCATTTGAGGGATTACAGCATTCTGCTTCCTTCACAAACCAAATAAAAACATTATCACTGTATTTTCTCTTAAGGTAGTCTACTGAATATATTTTTTTTTCCTGAAACTTGATACAAAGGGTTCAATATAATTTATACATTGTTATCTGAAGCAAAAGTAAATTAACTGATCCACACAAAATATGATCTGAATTCACCAAAAGAAAGAAAAAGAAAGAAGCAAGCACCACTTCAAAGTATGTATATATGAGGGACGTAAAGAACCAAATAAATTTGTGTGTCCAGTCTGTCCAAACCCACACACACACGTAATATATATAATTCCATAACTGTTCTAATTTTATGCTGTTAGGATTTCTTCAGCAGGCTAGTTCTTCTCAGTGAAATCAGTATAATCATTTCATGAAGTTCTTTTGATGTAAGAAAAATTAGTGATACTTTGTTTTAGTACAAGTAAAGTTTTTAAAAATGTCCAAACCGCCATCCTATCTATTCAGAAATACACAATTTAAGCAGGTGATGACTTTAGAAATATCTCACACTGAGAACATCACCCTCTGGGCTCATAACCATTTTAGATAATAAAAAGCAGTCCAAAGTAAAAAGTTTAGCTGGCTTTATTTTCTAGTATCTTAAAGTGCTCTTTTTAACTTTTTTTCAAGTCAGTGTATTTTTCAATTCTTTTCCTAATATTACTTATCCCAAATCAATACTCAAGAGACAGATTTGTAACACATCCTTGTCTAGTGCTGTCCTAGGCAAATAAGTTCATCTACATGGGAACCATTATATATCTATTTCCTTAGGCTACTATGTGATTGCTCTAGAAGGAAAAGCATATGATTTTCAGGTTTCTGACTCAGCAATTTAATCTTTACAACAAACTATTAAAAACACAGCAGGGATAAATAGCATGAAATTGTATCTATGGTACATCCTTTTAAGTGTGCTGACCTTTCTCTCTTACTCGGTTAAAGATTTTAATCTCCTTCAGGTTGACTCCAAGTCCTGTTCTCATGGTCACCGTTTCGGTGGCATCCTGCTTGTGGCCCCTCCTGATGGACCCGTTGGCGTGTGCCCTGCAAAATGTGAACGTGTGCGATGAACAAACTAAAATCAAGCCATTTCGTTAAACCGAAGGTTACAGATGTCTCAACAAAAGGGAAAGCAAACAAGTTTCGTCTGTGAAAATACTTGAGCCTGGAATATCAAGAGAGCCCGCCTTTTCTGTGGAAATGACATGGCTTTGTGAGATCGTTTTTGCGACCTTGCTGGGGTATGGTTAATCCTTCAAGCACAGAGCAACTCGCACTGAAGTAACATTTTGAGACTCAAATACTTATGGAAAAATGAATTACCTGTCAGACCAGTAGATGTAAGCCCCAAAGACGGCAACTGAAAACATATCCACATTGCTCCCTGACAGCACCATCTCGCGATTGCTTCCTGTCTCGAGGTCAATTCTTTCTATCTTGTCTGTGCGCGCATCACACCAGTACAATTTATTTTCCTAACGATCGATAGAAAGCAATGTTACAACCTGGTTCCAACGGTTTTATTAAGGGAAGACTAACAGCGGACTAGAACACAGTGGCAGTTAAAATACTTTCTAAGTCTTTAAATGCAACAGACCTCATAGTCGATGGAGATTCCGTTGGGCCACGCTATCCCGGTGCTCACAAGGACAAGCTTCTCTGAGCCGTCTAGGCGAGCTTTCCCTATGCAGGGCATCTGCCCCCATTCGGTCCAGAACAGGAAACTGAAATAAAACACACAGTCATTAACAGTAGTAATGTGAACACGAACAGAACAAAAACAACACATTTCATAAATTAGAATTACAAACATGTTTGTGTTAGCAAGAAAATATCTCTATTATAAAATATACTTAGCCAGGCATAGAAATCACATGTAGGATTCAAAATTCCATCGAAGTACATTTTGTACACGCTATTCACTAACTGAAATGCTCTTTTCCAACTTCTCCCATTTGCTCCTTGTTTCAGGCTCCAATATTCCATCAAGAAGCTTCTGGTCCTCCCTGGTTATAGCACTATAAACTCGGCTCCGTAATAGCAGAGCACATAGATTACAGTGGCTGTTCCACTTGTAATTTTTACATTGTTTTTTGATTTTTAATTTTCCCCCACTGGAATGCAAGCTCACAAAAAACAAAATGACCTTTGCTCTTTTTCATCATTGTTATACCTACAGTACCAGATAATTAGGAAAGTTTCAAAATGAATATTAATATTAAATACAAATTTAGCATGACTCCAAATAATGAGATTAATGCTTTATTCATTCAATATTATACTTACAGAATCAGAAATTAGAAAATTTAAAAATAAAAACTTTTACTCAGTCTTTTATGTTTTTAATTTATAAAAATATACATTAATGTATCATAACTTTCTATTATGTCCATTTAGATCATAAAACAACTATTGCAACTTGAATTTTGTAAATTGTCATGTGAGACCTTCTTAAAACAATTTCATGCAAAAAAAGGCATTCTTATTTTAACAATCATGATAAACAAAATGTAATGTAGAAGGAAAGGTAATATAGAAAGAAAACTTAGAAAATACTAAAATAAAGCAAGATATCAAAAAAAAAAAAAAAGATAGAGCCTGGCATAGTGGCACTTTCCTGTAATCCCAGAGCTCTGGGAGGCTGAAGCAGGAGAATCAAAAGTTTGAGCCTACACATATAATTCAGTTATTTACAAGAGGTTATTTCAAAATATAAACTAAAAAGGGCTGATGATATAGCCTAGTATGTAAGCCAGGGTTCAGCCTCTGTTATAAAGAAAGAAAAGAAAGAAAAAGAAAGAAGAAAAGTGAGGAATATAATCAATTAATCAATGTATGTTTACACTTATTCATCCAAAGAATTTAGAATACATACGAAGAAGCAGAAATCCATGCTTTTATGTAAATATGGTTCATTCTAAATTTGAATATATGTCCACTGAAATTGTAATCAATCAGAAATCCACAATAATTAGAGTTTAGGAAAATATTAATATACTCATTCAAGTAACAATGGTTTGCATTTCTGTGTATATTTGGGTCATGAGTGGTCATAAATGAGAAGAGAAAATGAGATGCATACAGAAAATCTAAAAAACACATTTATATTTTATACTCAATGGAGTTATTATTTAGCCATGAAAAAATACTTAAAACTACATAAAAAGTATGTGCTCTCTTGAGGCATATTGTTTTGATGTATTTATTGTTTTTTCTTTCTGAAATAAGTATAATGACATTTTATGACCAGATTAAAAAAGAGGTGTTGGTGATTAGAATTTCAAGCATGTTAATGGAGAAGTTTACTTCATTCATATTTATGAGCTCAGTAAATCAGAAAGAAAAACCTTGCAGAAGGAAATTCAACTAATATTTTCTTGGTAAGATCTTGGTGAAAAATACACTAAAAAAAATCTATATTTTTGTTAAAGTCAAGATTTTTAATACTATATGCTATTCTATTCAGATTAGAAATATTGTTAAAAAAACAGTAGTTAAAATATATTGCTCTGTGTAAATTTTTAAGGGCAGATGTCATTGTTCTTAAGTCAGGTGATTTTTTGCTGCAGAAAAGCCACTTTGGAGGTCAGGAAAGACAGGTGCTTATTCTGTCTAATTCAGGTCATCTACTTTTAACAGACTTCAGAGTTCATATATAAAAGAAAATGTGTGATAAACCTTTTACTTATTATTGCTCTGGTTTCAAATATACTAAATAAATAATCAAAATATTACTGTGAGTTAATACATAAAGTAAACCATGTGACATATTCATCCTGAATTCTCACAGTTATGAAAATTATGGTTCAGAGAGTTCACAGTCCATAATCGACTGTGCATTTGGGAACATAAGCCAGGGACAATGCTCAGGCCTTGGTGGCCCAGGCTTGCTTCAGCTCCTCTGTAGAATGTCGTGTCACACATCCTAAGAATTTTGTATCAGAAGTTATTGTCCTGAGCTATGAAGTAGCAAAAGAGATGTTTACACTGAAAACCCCAACTAAAATGTGAAGATTCTTAATATTAAGAAATGAATCTGTCATTTTGTAGCTGTCTTTATTTTAAATTTGTAGTACTCCATGCAGGAAGTTTAAACAAGCACAAGTAAAATTTATAAATGAAATGATCCTAAATTAAATTTTTGAATGAAGACTTTATGCAGATTTTCTCTATGAAAACAGTAATGTTTCAAATAGCATAATATACGAAGCCAAGTCCAACTGTGTGGATTAATGGTTAACTATTTCATCAACTAAAAATTAAAGATTCAATCTACCAAAATTATGTAATACTATATAAAGATCATACAAAGAATAATATATTTGCTCCTCTAAAATAACGGAAAGAACTGAGCACAATTGTCAACTTGAGAATCTTTAGGAATTATAACCAAAATTTCAAGAAAGTACATACTTGAAACTCGTAAAAGTTCCAGGAGATACTTAAAGTTTAATATAAAATTTATATACTTGTCCTTGAGATGACTTTCATAAACACAGATTCCTCATGTGTAAACATGATCTTCAGCAATATGAAGAAATTAAAATCCTAGTCACTGACTTTTGAGGTCCCATAGAAATTAAGAATCTGAAGCTAATTACCGTCTCCACTAGATTTCTTATTTTGTAGTTGTGAAGTATTTCTTAGATTGAGTGATATGGTCAAGAAAATTGGCTTTAGAGTATTGGCTTATTAAACTTACCCCTGAAAACCCTAACATTAATGCAGACATTTTCAAAATTATCAAAATCATAGGCGTGTTATAGAAATGAATTTTCTCTGCATACTATATTATTTGTTAAACCACCCTGTAATGTAATTCTTACATTACAGAATTGGAAAACACGTAGGGACATTCAAAAGTAATTTGAAGAATTATATAGATACTATTAAAAATCATCACACAATCATATGACACATTGTTGCTACCATATATCATTATTTTCTTAATTAGATATATTAGTTTTGATGTGAAAATGCAGTGACTGCATATCATGAGTCACTTCTCAAACACTGATATTTATACAACAGATTTAAAAAGCCACATGGCAGAATTGGAGTTTCCAATGTCCAGCATACGCTTCCTAAGCACTGAACACTTACAGCATCATCCATGTGCTACTTTTACAAAAGTTGGCATTAGTTTAAACACAGGTATAGTTCTATAGAAAAAAATGGTTATTTTCTGCTGCAATTCAATATACTCAAGCTGAAAATATACACTCTAATTATTATGAATGATCTTGAATAAAGACAAAAAAGTTTTTCCAGAAATAAGTGTGATAGTGGTTACAAAAATAAAGATGTAGCTGGGCGTGGTGGGCTACACCTGTAATCCCAGATCTCGGGAGGCTGAGGCAGGAAGATGGTTGTGAGTTTGAGACCAGCCTGGGCTACAAAGTGAGCTCAAGGATAGCCTAAACTGCATATGAGACCCTGTCTCAAAAAGACCAAGAAATAAATAAATAAATAAATAAATAAAATACAGATCTGATTTCTGTGAGGCAGGTATAAAGAAGTAGGAGTACCAAAGAGAAAAATGAGTAAATTTAAAATGCTGAGACACAGAAAGAATAATTAATGTGATTCTTATATTTTATATATGTGAACACTAATGAAAAGCAATTAACTTTAATCACTCATTTCTTTGACTATAGGATTCTCTTTATTTTTTTACACATTTATTTATTTATTTATTCATTTATTTATTTTTGAGGCAGAGTCTCACAGTGTAGGTCAGGCTCACCTTGAACTCACTTTTGTAGCCCGGGCTGGATATGAACTCACAGCAATCCTCCTGCCTCAGCCTTCCAAGTGCAGGGAATACCGGCATGTACCACAAAGCTCTGCCAAAACTCTCTTATTGAATGCCGAACTGTCTCCCTGAAGCTGATTAGGGTTGCAATTTGTGCAATAATCTTGCCATTTCTTTCTACTGTGCTTTCTCAAAGACAACATAATTAATACTTTGTCAGACTGGCTAAATAAGAAAAAAACAAAATCTGAGGTAACCAACAATTTCTATCCTGGCACAAACACAAAAAAAATGAAGACCATGCAATTCTCTATGTATGCATTTGCCTTGCTTGAGAACAGAATCAAGAATATCACTGTGTCTTCTTTTGGAATGGGGGTCAACAGAGGTTTACCGTGACTGTAAAATTAAGAAAACTCAAAGCAAACAGTCCCTACCAAGTAAGAACAGTTGCCAGCCTTCAGGTGAGCATAACTTTAGTGTGGACAACATGCTTAGCACATTCAACAGAAGTACAGTAAATGCTCTGTGGGTCAACATGTCCATCTCCATCTTCAGGGCACAAGCAAAGTCATATACTTCCAAAAGTGGGGGTACATTTAACAGGTACAAGAGTTGACATTCTGGACTGAGGGTGCTTGCTGGGTTCTATTCTAGGATCAATCAAAAGTTTATATATATATATATATAATTGATTATATGTTTATTGCATATTTATTATATATTTCTTATAGGTGTGTATACACACACACACACACACACACACACAGACAGAGAGATAGGGAGAGACCCCTTATTCCTACCAGGAGTAATATATAATCCTGAGCCCTTTTTATTTCTATGAAGTCCTAAATGAGTTACTATTGTCTGAAGAATCCTATAACTTAAGAAAATTCTATCACAGATATAGAAAATGGCACTAATAGAAGACACTATAAAACTAGTATGTCTGTGGTAGTGCATAATCCC